TCACATTTGCACTCAAATATTGGTTGTATTGGAACAATTTGGACTTTGATAGACTTGTTTCATGATTGTGGTTGATGTGGACCACGCTAAACAAGAATATCTGAAGATGCAGATATCTCGGCTTTACAACCCATCTGAACTATTGGTTGTGGCTTCAATAAACTGTTACTATTACTTCTTCCACGTTCACGACTACATGTCAACGTCACATATCTCAAAACTCCATCATCCCCCTTTTTTTAATTCATTTTCTTAATTGTAAAATCAACCGCATAAACATATTTTTTGTAGAATTCATTCATAGCTTTTTCATCTTTATATATTATACTCACCTCAGGTGCATTTATACTATCTCCCACTGATGTTCCACATCCCACTAAGTTCACAGACTGGTTAACATTCTCATTACCAGATTCATTCAAAACATCATCATGTTTGTTTTGCAAGTCGTTCATACTTTATGAAAGGAATGACAATCGGGCTCGCTGACTCGAAGCTCAGGAGAACCAAGTCGAGACTTGAGCTGAGCCCGTTTATTAAAAAAACGAAAATCAAGCTTGTCCGACTCGACTCAGAAAAACTCGAGCAGCCGAAAGCTCGAGTCGACCCTAATTTTTTGACCGAGCTTTTGCTCGGCTCGGACCCGAAAAAAGCTCGATCATTTTACCTAAGCCGAACCCGAGCCTTGAATTTTGACGCATGAGCCGGCTCGACTTGGCTCGTTGACATCCCTACTTTATGAGCTGTGATAAAGACAACGGTCATGTTGAGTATCAATTGTTGTAACTAGGGATGTCAACGAGCGGAGCAGTCTCGTGAGTCGAAATTCTAGGCTCAAGCTCGACTTGGGTAAAATGTCCAAGTTTTTTTCGGGCTCGAGCCGGGTCGAGCAAAAGCTCGACAAAAAAATTAGGCTCAACTCGAGCTTTTAGCTCGGGCCTTTTCGAGCCGAGCCGAGCCGTCTTGGGTTTTGTTTGGTTTTGTTTTTAATTTTAAATTAAATAGGCAGCAGGTTGCTGCCTTTATTATTATTTTTTTTTTTAAAGATATGCTCAATTCTTCTGAGCCGGCTCGGGCTTTGCCCAGCACCTAAAAATGAAGCTTTTTTGAGCCGAGTCACGACGCGATCTGAGCTGACGAGCCCGATTGTTATCCCTAGTTGTAACTCAAATAATATTCTATAAATCTTAATTATTTTTCATTTTCGTAAATAAAGTTAACATTAGAAACAACAAATTCATGTACCATGCTAAAATTTGATGAGAAACATAAAACACATAAACGATTCTTAAAATATGTTTCCACCAAAGCATTACCGCGTGCACAAGTCGTAAAAATGAATAAATCGATAACAGTGACATGAATTACAAAAAAATTATGCAATTCATTTGGGAAGGAAAATTATGCAATTAATTACAAAAATTTTGTCATGAAATTTAAGCTATTATGTGCAATTAATTACAAAAATTCTGTCATGAAATTTAAGCCACCAGGTGTAATTAATTGCAAAAATCTTGAAATTTAAACAAGAAGGTACGATTAATTACAAAAATCTTGTCAAGAAATTTAAGCTACTAGGTGCAATTAATTACAAAAATCCTGAAATGTAAGCTACCAAGTACAATTAATTACAAAAAATTTGTCAGGAATTTTAAGCTACTAGATGCAATTAATTGCAAAAGATTATGCATTACTGAATACTTAATAATAGTGTTCATATCGTCATTGGACTCGACAAAATGGTTGATTTTTTCCAGGTTTCAAGTGCGATTGAAGTGCTACATGAACATGCTAAAAAACAGGGCATAAATTCGCGATTGATGTGTGTCTCACATACATTTACCGGAATTCCCCAAAACGGTTGAAATAACCCGTTGCAAAACGGAGCAACCCTCTAAACAATAACTTTCTTTGTTTTTAGCTTGCTTTGCTTCAATCCGGAAACTAAAGTCATAGATGGTGGGTAAAAAGGGGTGAATTCATTTTGCGGCTACTTTTTTGTCAACTGCAAAAGTGGAGAGAGAATGCCCAATTTTGTTGTATGAGTTATAGTCCCATTTTTTACCCACTCGTTCTGTACTCCCTCCAAATAGCAACATTATTGTATCGTATTGAAAAGCAGTCAACATGCCATGTGGACTTTTTTAAAATCCTGTTTTTCACCTTGTTTACTAGCCTATTACAGTAGCTTTATTGATTCGATAATAAGTGTAACCCTTTTTATTTCTCGTAAATTATTGATCAGTATAGTTATAGTGCTTCTTACAAATTTGACCCTCATAGTGTTTCAATCATTATTAGGTATATAGTTTTCAATTTTTTGTCAAAATCGTCTTTAGTTCTTGTTTTGGAGAAATGGTGGAGATTCTTGAAGAAGAAGTGCTACGTGCATCAATTTTACATGCTGGAGAAATGGACGGTGGAAATTGGTACATACTTCCCTTTTGCACTAGTATGAAATAAAGAACTTCATATTGGTTTTCCATGTCAATGGGTAGAAAAGCGAGAAACCCACAGTCAAAGGTAGAATCTTTCTTTTTGCACTAGTTTTGGTATCTGGGTTTTTACCATCCATAGAATAAGAAATGTTTCCGGGGTTTACCATCTGTAGTGGTGGTGGTAGTGGTGATTTGGGGTGATAAAGGTTGTTGGGTGGCGGTGACTTTTGTTTTGATTTGCGGTTTGGAGGGGGGATGATGAAGAAGATGATGATTTTGCTTTTCTTGTTTTTTATTTTCTAATAATTTATTGAGATTCGTTTGTTCTTTTTTTCTTAAAAATTTGGGAATATGATTTCAATTAGTATTTTAGTACCTATTTGGTTTGAATTAAAATATGATTTTAATCGAAATCAAAGTCAAATAATTAATATTAACAACAACTTTCTTGAATCCTACAATTTTTCAACCACACATTTCAAAAATTTCTATCACAATTTACTAAAAAATCTAATTTTAATCTCCACCAAATACCTTCTAAATTTTCTTTTCTTTTTATATTATTTAAATAGGAGCCTATATTCATCATTTCACAGTTTTTAGGGGTTAAAATGCAAAAAATTGAAATATATGGACATTGAATGCCAAACGTAGGAAATTACCCTTTTAGCAATTATAAGAAAACCCAAACAAAGGCATAGTTAGATTACTGCTGGCAAGATTATTTAGTGCCTGTTTGATGTCCGTTCTTTTTCCTCTTCCTTTTTTTTTTTTTTTTTTGCCAAAAATGCATTTTGAAATAGCGATTTGATAAAAAATGTGTGGTTAAAAAAAAGAAAAAATTTTGAATTAGCGTGTAATATTATTTTATTGAAGAATGTGAGGTTGAAAATAATAAAGAGAAAATATATTTTGAAAAAAAAAAAAAAAACAGAGAATCAAACGCAGCCTTAGTTCGTGACAAAATTCGTCTAATAAAGTACAAAATATCTACATCAATGGTTGTATATGCTCACTACTTCGATGAGAGTTCAATGGTGATTACATTCATTAACATATTCATAAATTTGATGAACGTAATAATATCAGTTTTCTAACATTAACTTTTCAATAACATAAAACTTTACTAATATGTACTTTGAAACATATTTGTTTTAAAGCATAATCGAGAGCGACCACCCTGTATTATTCTGGAACAATCTCGTGATTCTTCCTTCGAATTGAGTAGGGCTGCATATTGTTCAATTCGATTCTAAAGAGAATTGAATTGAACTCGAATATATTTAGTGAGTAATACCGTTGGGTCCAAATTTAATTATGAAATTGTTTGGGTTCAATTCCATCCAGTTCACTTCGGTACTGTTTAGTTTACTTTCTGAGTTCTATATAGTAATTAAATATTTTAATATTTACAACAACGCTACATTAATTCAACTAATAATATATTCAATCTTAACTCTACAAAATAATGTAATCCAATCTTATGTATTTTTTGCGCATCTCTTCATTGAGTTTTTCATAAATTTGATTTTTGAAATCACGAGAAGAGAAAGATAATGCACTTACAATAAAGAAAGCTTCTAATTTGATTTCTCTAAAACTATAGAAACGACACTATGATAAAATAATGGATTTGGGTCAAACTTAGGTCCATTTGATTTAGTTTGGTTTGGATTGAAAATTAGAAATTGGAAAATCATATTTTGGGTTTGGACTAAATTAATTAGTTAGTAAATTTATTTTGAAAAATTAAAATAAGTTGACTTATTTAAGATAATTAACTTTAAAAAATTAGGAAGATTCGATTCTTCAATTTTTGATCTAAAATCGAGAATCAAACCAAATCTGTCAATTCTTGATTCAAATATCCGTTCGAGTATTTAACTTAAGAAGAAAAGCTCGATTGAGTTTAGTTCAATTCAGTTCGAGTCGAATTCGATTTGGTTTGATTTAGTTCCAAAATTTTGTCCAACCCTAAGATCGAGATTGTTGTTTCTTAACACAAATTATGCCAGAAAAAGGGGTAAAAATGCCAGAAAAGTCATTAATTGTTCAAGTAATTGCTAGTTGTGTCAAATTCCCCTAACATAATTTTTTAGAAAAATTGTAGTAGTGGTCCCTAATCTTTTCATTTTTTACAAATTTTATCATAATCTTCATTTTGTACCAACAAAAGTTCCTAACTTTTCATAAATATGCACTTGATGTCCATCTAGACGGAAACCATCCACAACCCCATCGGTTAACCGAAAAAATTTCTTGAACTATCCGCTATCGCCAGGATTTTATTGGATGTTCATACTTTTTTGGATAGTGTTTTTGGACGGTGTTATTGGATGTTGATTCCTTAATTTTGAGTTGACCAGTGTTTTGGACGTTTCTGTACAAATGGATTTCAGATGCATATTTATGAAAGGTGAGGAACCTCCACTGACACAAAATGAAGATTAGGATAAAACTTACAAAAATGAAAATATTAGGAACTGCTGCTGCAATTTTCCTTAATTTTTAGCCTTATCCTCTTTCGTTAGCTGGCCCAAAAATTTAAAATAGCCTTTCAACGGAAAAACCCTAAACCCAGAATCGAGAGCAAACTTTTGGTAGTTCTTCACAAAAAGCAATCGCCTCCCAGATCAAGTGAAATTTGAACCTAGCAGTATCCAATTCTGAGGCAAGTACTTTTCTTCGTCAACATGTATGATTCACAGATGTAATTCCAGTTATTGGTCATAATGAATCAACGTATGTGCAAAAGTCTCGTCTTTTTCTCTTTCAAAAACCCTTCGTTTCTGTACAAAAAGCAATCGCCTCTCAGATCAAGTAAAATTTGTACCTAGCAGTGTCCAACTCTGAGGCAAGTACTTTTCTTCGTCAACATGTATGATTCACAGACGTAATTACAATTATTGGTCATAATGAATCAACGTATGTGCAAAAGTTTCTTCTTTTTCTCTTTCAAGAACCCTTCGTTTCTGTACAAATCCCATTTTTCTTTTTTATTTTTCTCTACCTCGCAGAAAAGGGAAACGAAAAATACCCTTACAGTGTACGATTTTCTGCTACAGAAACACCACTTTTCTCCTGAAGCTGCTTCACAAGTTGCCTCAGTTTTAACCCGTATAAAAAATCCAGAAAAATCTAATTCAATACTATTGTTCCTCAAAGAGAGTGGTTTTACAAACAATCATCTGGAGAAAATGGTGAAAACTCGGCCTGGGTTGCTCTCTGCAAGTCTTGAGAAAACAATGAAACCCAAAATTAAGATTTTCCAAGATTTGGGCTTTTCTGCTAATGACATCGCTGAGATAATCTCAAATGATCCTTACTGTCTGTATCGTAGTGCAGATAATAGGTTCATACCCACATTATCCGTGTTGAAGAGCTTGCTGGGATCCAGTGCAGAGGTAGCTAAGGTTTTAAAGATTTCTGGGTGGTACTTGAAATTAGATTTGAAGAAGACTTTGGTAGCCAATATTGAATTCTTAAAGAGTTGTGGTGTAGACATGGAGCAAATCATAAAGCAGATATATAATTTTCCAAGGTTTCTCTTGCATAGTCCGACAGATATGAAAAAATTTGTTAAAAAGGTTGATGAGATGGGGACTTGTAGAAGTTCCAGATTGTTTATTCATGCTGTTCGGGTTGTTAGTTCGATGACTGATGAGAATTGGGAACTAAAGTTAAAGCATTTTAGCGAATTAGGATTTTCAAAAGATGACATTTTGAAAATGTTTAAAAAGTCCCCACCTGCGTTTGCTGTATCTCGGAGAAAGCTGAAGGAGGTAAAAGAGGTTTTGCTTGCGACAGGGAGGTACAATCTTTCATGTATTGTTAACAATCCAACATCTTTTATTTGCAGTGTTGAAAACAAGATTAAACCCCGAATGCAAGTTTTAGGAATTTTGGATAGTAAGAATTTGATTAAGAAGTGGCCGGGTCTTGCAACAATTACCAGGATGCCAGAGCGCAAGTTTTTGGAGAAATTTGTTCAGCCTCATTTAAATGAAGTGGGAGAATTATATATGGCAAATAGTGCACTCAAAGGCAGAAGAGATACAAAACTTTTATCATCTGCATAAAGAAATGGGATTTAAGTGATATTTCTTCGTGCTTATGTTTAAGCAAAGTCCATACCAAGCCTGTGTTAAGGAAGGTTGTGGTAGGTTGATGGGTTGCATAAAACTTTGTGACATCTACCCTTATATAAATTTCATTAGGCATCTGGAGTAGTGACGGACTGATTTAGACAGAAAAAGATTCATATAGCGATTGACTCTATTGTTGTTAACCACCTATTAAAGGTTAATGTTGTGATGGCTTAAGGATTTGATTAGCTAGATAGTCATTCATGTTTTGTATGCGTGGTTATCTAAATATTGTTCTACCTATTTTTCTGAGTCTGCTGAAATGACTTGTCATCCTTCTCGAACATGCTTTATAGTAAAGATCTCACATTTTATTTTATGCATTTGTTATAACTGTTTGCTCTGAAGACATTGGTTATTGATTGCCTTGTGCAAATGCACAAGGATTAAGTGATGAGTTCAATTAAGATGATTGTTGATGCCTATGTTCCATCATAATTATTCTCAGCTTGAGTGAAGAATGGCTGCAATTCTGGTGTTCGAAAGATAGATCTAATCCAGAATTTTCATTGTACTATGTTGATTATGTCATCCTTCTGGAGTATATTCAAAGTTAAGATACATTGTTTTCTAAGTGTATGATGCAAATGCACATTGAGAATAAAGTCATTATCTTCTCGTCTTCTGAATTTTGGCTTTGATTCATAGGAGGAACTTGATAGTACTCTAGAATTGTTGCTGGATTCTTTAGAACTTGGAATCACCCAAATTGGATCAAAATTTGATCAAACTAGTTTGGTTTAATTCGATTCTAGTTCAAATCTAATTTGTTCTAGTTCTTAGAATCAATAACTGAAAGGTTTTTGTTCATCCCGGTTCTGACTATAGAATTCGATTCTAAAATTATTTTTTATATTATATTTTGAACTTATTTTCTATGAATTCAAAGCATTCAAAATAATCAGCTTTTGTCACTTAAAAACATTGTTTTCTAATTGCATGATGCAAGTGCACATCGAGAATAAAGTCATTATCTTCTCGTCTTCTGAATTTTGTCTTTGATTCATAGGAAGAACTTGATAGTATTCTAGAATTGTTGCTAGATTCTTTAGAACTTGGAATCACCCAAACTGTATCAAAATTGGTTCAAACTAGTTTGGTTTAATTTGATTCTAGTTCAAATCTAATTAGTTCTAGTTCCTAGAATCAATAACTGAAAGGTTATTGTTCATACCGGTTCTGACTATAGGATCGAATTTTAATTCGATTCTAATTCTAAAATTATTTTTTATATCATATTATGAAAATTAATTTCTATGAATTCAAATTAAAATAGCAAGCATTCAAAGCAATCTACTTTTGTCACATAAAAACTTGAAGATTATATCTTTTATTCCGAAGTATAAAGAAGAAGAAGATCACTCTAAACTAGGAGGAGTTGATTTTAGTCTGATTACTTAAAATTAAACCACTTGGTTCTATTTATAGAATTTCCATTGGTATAACCTCGTGAGAATTGGACCAAATCGATCAATGCTTAAAGATGAAGCCATGGGCGAGGTAGCCGATGGGTGGTGGTTGTGATTGTGTTTAACACAAAGCATGAATGAGAATTGAGAAAGCTTGACTTTTGATGGGGTTTTTATTTTCAAACATGTTTAGAGTTTAATCTTTTGACTGTTGAAGTAAAAAGAAACTACATATTCTGAAAGCACTTTTTGGCATACATTAATTACTTCTAATTTTGAGGTCTGGTTTTCATCGTCTCAAATGTTGAGAACTAGCTTCTCAAACCATACGTTGGGACGCATATTGCAGTTTTCCTTTAACGCACTGATAGTGTTCTTCTAATGACAATTGCTATAGACACTAAATCGTGAGCAAAATTGGTACCTTTTCTTTACAAAATTCAATTGAAGAATCCTTGCTGTATCATTCTCCAAGCCTAAACGTATATATGTAATTTCGATTTTTGGTCATAATGACTCTGCATATACGCAAAAGTTTCATCTTTCTCTCTTCTAAGAACCCTTCGTTTCAGTACAAATTGAATGTTTCTTTCTCATTTTCTTCAATCCTTTTTTTTCCCTCTACCTCGACAAAAAGGCAAGTGAAAAATACCATCACGGTGTACGGTTTTTTCAAAGAGTCGGTTGGAAAGGGTCGCGAAAAGCGAGCCTAGTTTGCTCTCCGCAAGTCTTGAGAACACCATAAAGCCCAAAATCAAGATTTTCCAATATTTGGGCTTTTCTGCCGAAGACATTGCTGAGATAATTTCAATTACTCCATCGATTTTGTATCGCAGCGTGGACAATGGTGTCATTCCATCATTATAAGTGTTGATGAGCTTGTTCAGATCCTGTTCACAGGTGACTATAGTTTTGAAGTGATATGATATGGGTGGTTCTTGAAACATGATTTGGAGACAACTATGGTACCCGATATATGTAGGCATGGAGAAGATAAAAATTCAATATCTATATTTTTTCAAGGTTTTTCTCGCATAATCCAAATGATATGAAAAAATTTGTTAAAAAGGTCGATGATATGGGGGGTGTATAGAAGTTCTGGGTTGTTTATTCATGCTGTTTGGGTTGTTAGCTTGATGACTGGAGAATTGGGATCACAAATTATAGCATTTTAGCGATTTGGGATTTCCGGAAGATGACATTTTGGAAATGTTTAAAAAGTCCCCACCTGTGTTTGCCGTATTGCAGAGGAAGCTGAAGAAGGTAAAAGAAGTTTTGCTTGCAACCGGGAAGTATGATTTATCGTGTATTGTTAAGGATCCAGCATCTTTGCTTTGCAGCATTGAAAAGAAGATTAAACCCCGAATGCTAGTTTTAGGAATTTTGGATACTAGGAACTTTGTTAAAAAGTTGCCTAGTCTTGCAGCAATTACTAGAATGCCAGAGTGCAAGTTTTTGGAGAAATTTGTTCACCCTTATTTAAACGAAGTTGGAGAAGCATATATGGCAAATAGTGCACTCAACAGCAAAAGTATCATCTACTTAAAAGAAATGGGATTTAAGTGATATTTGTCAATGCTTTTGTTTAAGCAAAGTCCATACCAAGCCCGCATTAAGGAAGATTGTGGTAGGTTGATGGGTAGCATGAAACTTTGTGAAATATACCCTTATATAAATTTCATTAAGCATCTGGAGCAGCGACGGACTGATTTAGACAGAAAAAAGATTCATATAGCGATGGACTCTATTGTTGTTAACCGCCTATTAAAGGTTAATGTTGTCATGATGGCTTAAGGAATGTGATTAAGCTAGATAGTTATTCATGTTTGGTCTACCTGGTTTTCTAACTATTGTTCTATCTATTTTTTTTGAGTCTGCTAAAAGGAATTGTTGACACACTAAAAGTGCAGCCTAAATCGAATAACCCAAAGAATGAAGCTCAATTGGAGAATTTCCAAATCAGATAGCCCAAAAAATGAAGTCCAACTGGATAATTCAGGATAAAGACCCAGATAGGGTTATTAATGAATGCAGTGAAAGTTCACGAATACGGTAACATCATCGTCCAAACTTGCAAGACGCCCAAGAGCTGAGCGAATTAAGTGCCTTACAGTCGCCCAGAGCTATGACCCCTTTCTCGCCCAAACCTTCGAATCACCCAGGATCTTAGCAAACATAAGATGTTATGGTTATCCAGAAGTGCAGTTATTGAAGCAGTTATTGAGTAACCTTATCACATTCCACGATTCAAGGAATTCAGTTGAAGAAGGTTGAACGACAAAAAGTAGTGGCAGCAGTTAGAGACGGCAGTTCCACGACAAGTTAGCCACCATAAAGAAAGTGGGTAGTTATAAAACAATCAAGCAGTTTCTAAGCGGTTGATCACGAAGAAATTATTAAGGGAATATAAAAGGAAGAGAAGACATAAAGAAAGGGGACCCCGAATCAAACATTCTCAAACAGAGAATATTTAATTTCAATTTCTTAGTTTAAACTTAAACATTTCTTTCAGTACTCGTGTGCTTGCGCCCCTTGGAGGCATTCTGTTTGTTTCTTACACAATCGTCTGATCCCTTTTTAATTGTTAGCGACTACCCGCGCGAAACAATTTGGCACGCCCGGTGGGATCTTGGTGTTTGGTGTTGAAAATACAAAAGATGAAATAATATGCCTCACAAATCTGATAAGGAAGCAGCAAGTCAGGTAGGAGTCTAGTCTGTGATCGAGCGATATGAGGAGCATCATAGCTCTCCACGAACAGAGGGACGGAGTCAGAGCAGTCACAATCATTACGAACCAATGACAGAGTTGAGTCCTCGAATCACGCGTGCATTACTTGGAGAACTCACACAGGATGTCGTTAAACAAGTAAATCTGCGAAATATTCATAATATGGAAAGATTTACCCAGAATGGGAATGCACATTATGACAACATGGCCAAACAACTGAACACTCTGAATGAAATAATGAATAAGTTAGTAGGCCAAATTTGTCAGCCAGTTGTGCCTCTTGTAAATCATTTTCAAGTTAGGACAATTGTGGGACATAATCCCCTACTCCTAAGTCCAAATCAAGGGATAGAATCACATTTTCGTCCCTCTACTTCAAACCAGGGGGATAGTGTAATACAAAATCAGAATAGCGGTAATGGTACAGCTAACTTGGGAGGTAATCTAAATGTAAGAGACAATGTCCTAAATAATGGATAGAATGCCCCACGTGTTAATGATGTAATAAATATTCAGGCTAATGGTAACAATGACCCAAATCAAGGCAACTTTGTTGCCAACCAGGGACCAAACATCAGGCCTCAAACAAATCAACTGATCAACCAACCTGTAGGAATTCCATATGACCCCCAACGTCATGTTGAGGAATCAAATTATGGAAATAATACAGGATCAGATGGCTTTTGGAGTACGTCCTGTCATTAGCTGACTTACACAAAGCCATATCCTGATTGGGTAGACCAAGCATATCCATGGCATAGAGAGTATAAAGTACTAGAATTCTCACTTTACCGGTTTAGGAGAGGTGTTTACTCTAGAACACATAGGGCGATTCACACTACAAAGTGGTGAAGTAACAGATTACCATAAAATGAGGCTGTTCCCTAGTTCATTAATAGGAATAGCTTTCTCCTGGTTCATTAATTTTCCAGCGAACTATGTTCAAACATGGCAACAATTAGAGCAATTGTTCCATGCTCAGTTTTATAAGACTGAGTCTAAAGTTACTTTGACCGATTTGACGAGTCTGCATCAAATGTCAAACGAATGGGCAGAAGGTTTCCTTTAGAGGTTCAAGACAGCAAGAAGTAAATGTTTTGTACCTCTGCCCGAAAAGGAGTTTGTCAAAATCCCTCAAAACTGTCTAAGTTTTGATTTGAAAAAGAAATTTCAAGACAAAGAATTTCCTAATCTTTTTCAATTGAGCGCAAACGTGATTAGGTACGAACGATTAATAAGAGAAGAAGAACAAATGAAAAATTCT